CAGGAGGAGGAGGAGGAGGTGACAACAAGTGAAGGTAAGGGAGAGAGAGGATGAGATGGTCAAGAGGACATAATGTATTTATCTTCTTTTTGTTTTAGATTGTTCCTCCTTCAAGAAATGATTTGTGAAATGACTATTATAATTATAATGATTTTCTATTTAATATTTTAAATGTCAAATTTGTATGGTTTTATCATTTATACACAAAAAATTAATGTTAAGTGACAAAAGTGTAATGATAAGTGATTGTGTAGCAAAATAAGTATCAAGTGGATTATAACAATAATAAATAGTACCAAGAATAATACCTATACAAGTGGAATTAAAGCTGATGTAAATGCTTACATTATTTCTTGGAACCAGTTTTTCTTCTGTGTGGTTTATTTCCAGTTGATCTTTTACCATATCCTTTATCTGAAAGAGTAGGAGGATCAAGTATCAAGACATCATCATCATCAAACAATAAACTGATACCTTTTGAGGTTTTAGTTTTCAACTTTTTTATTTTAGTAAATTCTCCAGGAAAACTATCTTTTTTTTTCTTTCTCTTGTATCCTCTGCTTTCATTTTGTAAAATACCACTACCTGAAGACTGCTCTTCATTAAAAATACTGTCGTAAGAACCTTGAGGGTCCATCTCAAACCTCTTGCTGGGAGATGTGTCATCTATAAATTTGTAATAATTAATAATTATAATTAATAATGATGGACATGTACCCTGTGCTGCTCTTGGTCTTTTGTTTAGTAGAGAAGAGCTTTTGCTAACATCTTGTATACTTTCTATGCATAATAATGTGTAAAACAGGTCCAATACATTGGTATTTACCTTGAGGTGGTGGTTTTCCCAGCTTGTTCAGTATGCTAATGAGAAAGTGCTTGAGTGGCTCATTGTCTATATGGAACAATGCATAGCACACATCAGTAAGATACTCAGTGGAATTTAAATGAGAACCGAGAGTATTTTGAATGTGAACAGTCAATTGGTTGGCTTTTTTATAGTCATTTAAACCAAGCACTGTAGAGATTTCATTTCTTAATGCTTCAGGTATCACTTTTGCAGCAAACAGTCTATCAGCAGCACGTATTACATCTAATGAGATGCACTGGGTAATATCAGCTGAATGTTCACGAAACAAGTCTCTAGGACAAACTAAAAGACAAAATTTAGTTATAAAAAATAAAAGTCAAATCATTGTAGCAACCTTCTGTATCTACTGCAGCTGTGCCATGGGACAAAGACCTTTTATGGGATTCTACAAGATAATGTTTATATAAACACACATCAAATTGATTGATTTACCAGTTTGAGATGATATACTGCTTGTATTTTGTGTTGTGTTATTCAGCTCAACAACCTAAACACACACATTTAATACAACCATAATAGTTTACAATGCTGTATTGTTTTTTTTACTTACCTTAGTGGACCAGTATAATTGCTTCTCATTAAACTCCACTATTCTGCCATTCACACACTTAGTTGCTTTCTTATTACAGCCAATCACAGCAGGATGAGGTACTGCAGTACAAGCTGTACATGGTACTCCAAACATATGCTTTGACTTGTAAGTGTAATGGAGTGATTGTGTGACTGTGACTAGTCCTTTGTGCAATGATGCTAATAAATCACTTATTGACAGCTCTGACCCTTTTATTTGTTGCACCCACACTTCAAGGTAAGTAGCACGACTGATTAAGGTAACAGTATCATAGTATTGACCAAACTTGAAAGGTAATCCTGT